TTTATTATGTCCTGATACATAAAACCATAGAACTCAAAGAGTGTGTACTTTCTTTTTCACATGACTGTAACTATTGTCTCCAACTTCCCTTTTTAGTCAGTTGTTGAGAACTCTGGAGGACCCATCTAGACCCATTTCAGTCAGGTTTCAGACTGGGATGTAGTAAAAGACAACCTTGGTCGCACTTGTAAATGACCTGTGACAGAGCTGGGATGGAGGTGGTACATTCATCCTTGTGTTCCTTGATCTGTCAGTGGCTTTTCATACCGTCAACCACAGTATCCTTCTGGGATGGCTCTGGAAGTTAGGAATCAGGGGCACCATTTTACGGTGGTTCTCTTCCTTCCTTTGTGGCCAGCTCCAGTCAGTGTTGGCAGAGGGAGAGAGCTCATTCCTTAGGCCTCTTTTTTGTGGGGTGCACAGGGTTCAGTGCTGTGTCTCCTCCTATTTAATATTTTCATGAAGCCGCTGGATGAAGTCATCTACCTGTTTGGGATTTGGTATCATCAATATGCCGATGATACCCAATTATACCCCAGGCTGGCCAAGTGAGGCTGTCCGTGTCCTGTCCCATGGATCCAGGGATTTTCCATCTATACTCCCGAATGGAGTGGCAGTTCCCCATTTAAGAGTGTATGCAATCTGAGGGCCCTCTTGGACTCACAGTTCCTGCTTCATGAGCAGAGACAGTTGTGGCCAAAAGGGCTTTGTGCAGCTCCATTTTGTGCACCAGTTGTGCCCCTTCCTGGATCTGGAGGCTGTTCAGACAATTTCTCATGCCTTAGTCATCACATGGTTTGATTACTGCAATGCACTCTACATGGGACTGCCCTTGAAAACCACTTGGAAACTTCCACTGTTCAGCCTGCAGTGGAGCAGGTAAGTGATAGGCATGCCTCATATGCCTTTGTGATACCCCTGCTTCACAAGCTGCTCTGGTTGCTTCCAGGTGCAATTCATGATACTGCTTATGATATATAAAGCCCTACATGGTATAGGGCCTGCTTACTTAAGGGACTGCTATCTTCTGTAGTGTTGGCCCAGCCAGTTTAATCCACCAGGGTTGGTGTATTCCAAGTTCCTTTGATTAAGCGGTGCCATCTGTCAGGATTCCAGAAGCATGCCTCCTCTGTTGTGTTGCTTGCTGTCTGGAATGAGGTTTCCTCTAAGATCTGGGTGGTTTCCCACTGTGATGGTGTTCTGGGGGACCTGAAAAATCTGGCTCTTCTCCCAGGCTTTGAGCTAGGATGGTTGGAGCCCCTTGTTGGGTATATGATATGTTGGTTGTTGTTGACCAGATCTGCCATCTTGTTACATTATATGCTCTATTTTTTTATTATATTTGTTTTGTTTTTTATGCTGTGAGCAGTCCAGAGTCAATTGGAGACAAGCATCTTCAAAGTCAAATCAAACAGTCAAACACTGTCATGTTTCCCATGTCTGTTAATGTATATGCTTTTTTTTTTAAAATCAAAATGCATTTTAAAAAGGGCTATAACTGACAGCCTTTTTGTCCCTATTTCAGATAGATGATGTCATTGAAGATATCATGCAACTGACAACCACTGTGGGGTGTCTTAATCCAGAAATTCATATGCCCAATACTGTGAGTATCTCTGTTTCTGTTGTTTTTTTTAAAACCTCTGGCTTCTAGACAAGGAAGCGGTCATGGGAGACCAATCAAGTAACTGAGATAAAGTGGTTGCATCTGCCTTTTGTTTTTTTTCCAGATGAACAATTTGGAGTCACTGTTTTGTAGGAAACTAATGGAAATACTTATTCATGCAAACATTTTAAAATAGTAAAACCTATTTTCATGTGGCAAGATCTAACATTGTTAGATGGCACAAGTGTAAATACTTGAGCCACTTGCATATAATGAATGGGAGATACATGGCTAGGAAGAATGGGGAAGTTCTGCAAGCCATAGAATATTCTTGTAGAGAATCAGCTCCTCAACCTCTTATGGACTTTTTGCGTAAAAATGGGGGAAAAATGAATTTGTGATTTATGGCTTTGGTGATTAGATAGGATAGATTATAGAAGGAAGAGTATTATGATGTAACTTTAGAGAGAGAGATTAAATATAATTGTATTTATAACTGCTATAAAGAATATTGGAAGTCACTTCTTTGTATCTTTTTTCTTTTAACTTTTTTTTCCTTCTCTTGCATTTTTTGCTTTCTCTTTGCTTGCTTTTTCTTTTTTCTTCCTTACTTTATATTAGTTTGTATTAGTTTTTATCTTCCTTTTTAAATGTTTCAATAAAAATCAGAGAGAGAGAACGAGAGAGAAAGAGAATGAATCAACTCCTCCATTGGCTGGTACTTTCTTATCCTCCATTTTCTGTGTTAAAATAAATGTGTATTTGTCTCCCTTCGTTTTCCAGTTGCCCCTATCCAGCAGCCATATGAATGTCTATAACAGTGACCTTCAGATGACTCCTTCTGTGGTGGGCATTACTAGCAGCTCCTGCCCTGCTGATCTTACCCAAAAGAGAGAGCTTACAGGTAACATGGCAGGTTGTATAGCCAGTGGGTATATGCCCAAATGGCCAGGGCGATTTTTAGTCCTCGCTTTGCCTCAGACTGTAGGTCAGCAGTGAATCTATTTATACACGTGCATGCATATGTGTATAAAATGAAACTTTGTTCTGGTTGGCCCACTGTTTTCATGACAGCTTGTTGTGTTATCTCTAGATGCCGAGAGCCGTGCCTTGGCTAAGGAGCGCCAGAAGAAGGACAATCACAATCTAAGTAAGTGGTGACTGGTTAAAATCATGTGGCTGAAATGCATTCTGCTGTATCTCATTAGCCCTCCGGGGTCTGATTTGTGGGCAGTGATTCAGAAACAGTGTTTTCATGCGCAAGCATGACTGTTCTTCGTTTAGTTATTCTGATGCAGAGAATGTAAAGAGATCAGCTACACTTAATGGCCATTCAATGCACATACAGCTGATTTGCTTTCCTCTGGGCCTCTTGTGTTTTTACCCTGTGCATGATCATGTTTTCGTATAAATATTTTTATCATTTGATTGCTTCACCATCTGACTGGTTCATAGATTTTTTCTTAAAATGTCCTTCTTGGATTTTTTCTCCTTCAGGGGCAGGGAGGGCTATTTTCATGTAATGCATGAATTCATGTAATAGTGCTGCCTTGATCAGGAAAAAATGCAGTTACATATAAAACATATAAAAACCATCCTCTTGTTTGGGGATAATATAATTAAAAAATATGGAAAAAACAACAACAACAACACCCTGTAGTATACTGCTGCTCTTGGATTAAATGAAGAACCCTTCCCTTCTTTTCTGATTGCGTGTGGGGAAGTGACTTAGCTTCTGCTGTGATTCCTTATTATATTACCAGCAGGTAATTTTTTGCAGCAAAAATCCTACTTGGTTTTTATTTGGAGGAGGAATCCCTGGCTGTTTATTATGATGGTTTTGTAATATTTGGCATTTACAAATTTACCAGCAGAGCAGAAGTGAGAGCAATTAGCATACCCATTCCAGTCAGGCTGCAGATACACTATTTTACACAGAGCTCCAGAAAGATGCACTCCACACCCCAAGGCACTTCCATTTCTTTTGCTAATGCTTGGCCTCCCCCCACTTTTCTCTTTCTCTCCCCTGTGATACCAAAATGCATGATACATTTAGAGACACACGCACACATACATTGATACATGCCCGTTACACCTACACATGCAAACATTCAGACCTCCTCTTATCTGTTCATGTGCACCCAGACAAGCACATAGGATGTACCCTAATGAAAATGGGAACCAATGAGTATTATAGTTCTATTGCACAAATGATCTTAATATGCTGCCTGCTTCTTTTTAAGATTTCGTTTGTTGCCTCTTTAATTAGACTAACACATGAAACATTTTGATTATTTAAAAGAGGCAATTAAGTCTTTTGTTAGCAAACATTTCATTTTTAAACATGTAATTGAACAGAGAATTCAGGATAGATAACTAGAAATCAGTTGGTACAAGGTGTTTGTACCATCTCTAGTTCTTTAACTCATATTTGCAGACATACTGCAGAGCCTGACTAAGTAGCGTGTAGGTTTTATAGTACTGAGTTTTAATGCTATGCTGTTGGAAGATCAACACTGTGGAAATGACCTCACTTAAGCATGACTTTTATTAGAGAGCTAGTGAAAAAACTGAATTGATCCTTGCTGTTAAACATGTCTTGAGGAGCATAATACTAGCGTCACTTAGAAGCTTGCATTATATTTAAATGTAGTATCAAAAATCTAAGTTGTTTGTAAATAATAATTTTACTTTGTATCCTTTTATGATTAAATGGCCAGTTATTTCTGCATATGTTGAAAGCATATACTTACATTTTTATCTCTGCATGTAAATTATTCTTAATGCAAAGTTTTTAAAACTACATGAATCATTTTAAAAGAGAATCCTATATTAGAATATACAGAAAATGCCTCTTTTGGGATGATATCTATCATAAAACATCATATATACATGTATTATTTTATATTGTATATATTGGGTACGTTTTTAAATGTTTTGTAGTTTATTTTTTGTTTTATTGTTTGTTTTTGCTGTACATCACCCAGACTCACATTGTTTCAGTTGGGTGGCCTTATAAATTCAATCAGACAATCAATTAATCATTCCTATGCAAACATATTTTCTTTAGACTGAAGTTTTGCATATTGTAATTTATTCTGATTTGATTAAAATTAAAAATAGAGATGAAGGACAGACTAGAGTGTGCATATTCGTTTTTAAATACTTCTTGAATCAAGGCAGAAAGGAGGCAGATTAAATTGTTGGAAGGGAGTGGGGTCTTCTATCAAGAATGCTTTGTTCCTGGTAAGTTCCAGGTTGGCCCCCTTTCTGGTGAGGACACACAATAATTTTTTAGTTGAAGTTTGTAGTTCCAGGGAGAATTTGTAGATATCTAGGAATTTATATGTACTAACAAGCAACTTGATTTTAATTAGGAAGCCTAATGGAAACTGTATTACTTAGCCAGAACAGGTGTTTCATGCTTCCATCAGGAGGGACTTGACATAAGCCTAGCCACCATGATCTGGACGAATTGCAATTTCTATATTGCTTTGCATCCTCACAGAAAGTGCATTGCAGTAATCTAAATGGAAGACAAGCAATATGTGGATTATAATAGCCAAATGAGACCTCCCCAACAAGGGACAGAAATGATAGGTTGTACTGGAACTGCCGAGCTGTGTGAGCATCCAGATGGATTTGCTGTTGTTCCTGTATTGGGATAATGCAAAAGGAGGTCTAAGGAAATTCATCAGTATAGGTCAGGCCCCTCAAACAGAGTTGTTCTCCCTTCTGTCATTGGTTGTCCATTGCTCAAATATTTTATAACTTCTTTAAAATAAGAAACAGCCAGTTATTTATTTCATCATCTTTATACTTGTTTTTTGTTTAACAAAGTTGGTATGTTTTTTAAAATTCTCGATATCTCACACGGGATTTTTTTTCTCTTTCTGCTCTAAGTTGAAAGAAGACGAAGATTCAACATTAATGATCGCATTAAGGAATTAGGGATGCTGATTCCAAAAGCTAGTGATCTGTAAGTTCTAGTAAATGGTTCATGTTTTCCCATTGCCTCTTAGAGAGACAGAAAAGTCCAAATTGAGAAAGAGACAACCAGAATAAAAGTTGGATGGGAGATTATGTTCCTGTGTCTACTGTGTTGAAAACTATATTTTATTTCTGCCTTTAAAAACCACAAACACACCAAACTTCTTTAAATTTCAAATGGAAAATTCTCCAAATCAAAGGAAACTGTGCATAATGACATGAATGTAACTTAAACCACAGTAGCTTACTTTGGTCCCATTTGAAATAGAGGGTTATTTAAAACTTCCAGAAAAATATATGCCTGTTTTACAGCTTTAATTATTGTTAATTGTTTTAAGAGTAAAATATATTGTAAATAGCAATTTACTGTTCCTGGAGACTAAATATAGTATCTGTCAATCCCTGAAAGCAGAGGAGGGGAGGGAAGAGGGGTTGGCAGGGGGTTCCACAGGGGAGTCAAAAAGTCAAGATGGTGACTGACCTTGCAAAAAAAAAAAAAAAGCCCTGCCTTTTTAAATGTGCATTGCATGCTTTAATCACATTGTCTTGGCCTCCATCTTAACTGTTTTTTCATCTTTCCTGTCAATATGCCTGGGGGTTAGTATACATGGGAAGGCTGACCTTATACCTTATAGGTACTCTTTCTTCTGGAGGTGGGGGTGGGGGTGAAACCTACCCTGTTTCTAAAGCTGTTTTACCCCAGTAGGCTTCTGTACGGAGTAACTGTAGCGGGGGGTTGGAGAGAAACCAAATGCAAAAGAGGGAAACAATGGATATGGTTTAGACTTAGCTGTTTTTCCCTTATGCCTGCTCACCCTGTGTTTTGAATTTTCTTCATTTTGTAGTGAGAAAGGCTTTTCAGGTATAAGCCTGTATTTGCACTGAGTGTAGCTAGAATGAGTTCTGAGTAACAATGCCGTAATTGCCAAGAGAACACCAAGCGGTGCAAGGCCGTGTAAGAATAGCACCAGAAAGGAGCTGCAGTGTAGCACTCCCTTAAATAGCCATTGGCTGAGTGAGGAGTTCTTCATACTTCACACACCAGAGCTCTTTGCTATGGAAAGCTTTATAAACAAACTAACACAACAGGCTACATTCAGATTTCAACAAGATGGCTTGTCAAAAACAGCATGTGATCAAGATGACACCTCATATGAGGTTTAGATAAAAGGAACGTTAGTCCTTCACACACATTAGTCCTGTCATACATCAGCTGTATGGAACAGCTTTATTTAATTTCTTCAGTGTAATATTATACCCAAAATGTGAACTATAATCTTTGAAACTTCTGTGCTGTTCTGAATGGGATTTGTTAACCTGTCAGGACTTTTGACTGATTTTTAAAAAACAGACCAGCAAGCTTTAGTAGGTGGTTGCAATTATTATTGTTAGGTTTTTAAAATATGTATAAAATGCATGTACCAGATTTGGAACTGTGATTCCAAAGACATTGTTGTAGTAGAAAAATAATATAGCTTATAAATTGCAGGTGATTGCAAATGAATGAGTGAATATGGAAGCATTTTAAACATGGCTGAAATCTTGCAAGACTGCCACATTTTACAAAATCTCCTGCCAGAACAGGCAATTTTACAGTGTTTTAAAAATATTTTTTATTTAACTTCCACAGGTGCTATCTAGGTGCCTTGTGTGCGTCATGCCAGCCATAACTGCTGTATCCCTGCAGTGTCCACTGATGGAGAAAAAAAATGTTCTGTGACTCACATAAGCACTCATAAGCATGCAATATGGCTGGCTATTGGCGCAGGTTAATTTATTCTATGGAAGTTAGTGCTAGGACATTGTTTTATTGGTTCCTGATGGCTCCCTCCCTATGGAATATTCCCCCAGAGATAAGACTGGTCCCCACCTTGATACTTTTCTGAAAGGCCCTAATGAGGTGGTTTTGTCAGTCGGCCTGGGGACCCCAGGCTGATAGGAAGCCAGTCAAAGGGTTAATTTGAATGTGTTTGTTGCTGCCGGGGGGTAGGGGGTTTATTATTTTTTTCTATTTGGGTTTAATTCTGTAAGCTGCCTGGAATCACTGTGTGTGAGTTGGGCGGCCATATAAATTTGTTTAATAAATAAATCTACAGTGTTCCATCATAGTTGGATACATCTTTTTTGGTACCAATCTTATTTTGTTTTCTGAGAGATTGCTTCACCCACCCAAGCTGGTAAAGCAGCTTAAAAGTCCAGCAATTTTTTTGC